CCCATAAATCCCACAAACAAAAGAAGTTCTCCGACCGAATCATTTTTTTTTCTTTATCCGATAGGCCGAAGTGAATTCATTGGCGTTTCAATGCGTAAGGCCGAGTTTAGAATCCGTAGGCCGAGTTTGGCGTCAAGAAGCAGTGTTAGACTTATAACAATATCTAAACAATTTGTTTCTCTGTATCAAATCTTACGGTACGTACAGAAAGGTAAATTAATTTGGAAGCCATCAGTAATAATAACATTCCGTTTGGTGCTAAACTGCGCTAGATTAAGAAAGAAAGTGCGGGTTGTGCTTAATAAGCCGGAAATGGGGTAGTTAACCCTATCTGAAGTACAAAACATGTCTGGTACCGCATTTAGATTAACATTCTAAGTCCCTCCTTTTTTACATATTCTGCTCAAACGATACTTTCTGCCACGCCCCATTCGTATAATTCGGAAGGAAATCCTGTGAGGGGTGAGCTATTTTAAGTGCAGAATGTGTAAAGAAGGAGGGATTAGTTGTTAATATAAATGCATATATAGAGGTACCAGACATGTTTTGCACTGCACTGCCCTCTGTGAACAGTTATTAGAAAACAAATTATGTGTAGTTTCCGATCGATGCCACCGCCAACAACAGCAGTGACATCTGATGGAACATGAAAGCAGAAGCTTGACAAAATGATTAATCCGTTTTTCCCTAAGTTTTCATTCCGCTTTGCACGATTTCGTTTTCGCTTACATAGGAAATTTAATATGGATTATAGAATTTTTTGTAGAGGAATTGGCTCTAATGTTGGCATATGAATCTAAGATTGGGCCCATCGCTAAAAATCTGTTATTTATCAATTTTATCCAGATGAACGCGTCATTTGGACGGTACTAATGGATATTTTTAGTTGCTTTTGAAAATTTTATCGATTGCTGAATTTATGTATGAGCCAAAATTAGGGGCATAATGTTGAGGTAATTAATTGATTATTGAATTAGCACCTTATATACCATGAGAAAGCAGCCTGTTTGTGAGTGTTTGCCTGTTTTAAAGTAAGGAGTTATCATAAAAAAAAAAACAATTCGCCAGCTGGTATTTCCCGGCGACTTTACAAATAAATACAATCAAACAAAATCATCATGCAGAACTAGGATTTGTTTCACTTCATATTTCACACAATTGTTTTCGAGTGTTATGACATCGTCCCCGCAAAGTTTACATTTTAACATAGGATTACGTCTTTCGGCAACATATTGGGGATGCAATTTAAAAAAAAAAAACAAAATCGACCATGTTACCAATAGTGGTCAGGTTTTGACCACTTATAACTCTGTCAATAGCGGATGGATTTTAATGCTAAACAAGCCAATCGATTGGTAATTTTTCTTCAAAGCTGCTTAATTGAATACTTCATCAATTTTCAATAGGTCACTATTGAAAATTACACAAATGTCCAACTGTTGAAATGGTTATCAAAATTATCACCGATTGCCTATAAAAAGTGGTTTCCCTAACATAGTCGCCAAATATTGATACCGAGCACGTAATCCTACGTCAAATCTACGGTCGAGTCTTGGATACAACCTCCTACTTTTTTTTTTGCTGTTTTATTTAAGCATTGCATCCAATTTAATTACTTCAGGATTAAGCAGTCTTAACGACCATGTGGTCGAAGGCGGTGAACTATAAATAAATAAATAAATAAGCTTCATACTAGCCTAAGAAAACATCAAGCTAAGTAGATAAATAAAAACAATTATGACTGAAAATGTTAGTCCGTTTTATAAACTAAACAATGCTTAGGCATTTGTACCGATATACGACTACCGGTATCCGAATTGATGCCTACCAAGGTCAAAAGAGAGCGCAAATTTGATGATGATAAGTTTCGTCCATGTTAATCGGATTGTATGACACACGGTCCAAAAACAAATCGTCGAATGACAAATCGTCGAATGATGAGAAGGAGGACAAAATGTTATAGGTACAAAAGGTCAAAGTGACATAAAGTCGAATGGTCAAAAGGTAGAATGATGAGAAGAGGGACAAACGGTTGAATGGAAATAAACGCCGAATGATACATGATCGTAAGTTTTGTTGAGAAGAATAGTTGTCCAGTTGGGAAATAGTGGAAAGAATGCTTACCAAACTTAAGACACCGGTACGTTGAATATTTAATGACTTATAATCAAAATCAATCAATTTTGCTCTCCTAGCACTCAGTGTTAGTGAACTAGGGATGGATATATCATAAAAAACAATACAATCTGCAATAAACTAGATTGATTTAACATCAGCTTGAAAAAAAGATGCTAAAGTCATCTTTGAACGAATCGACCATTTGTCTATTGACCTGTTTTACATTAGACCTTTTGTCAATTTGACCCTTTGGCAATTCGACCTTTTGTCAATTAAAACTTCATTAAGAGTAAGATCTCTGAAAACCTGATAAGAAGTTTCCTGGAGTCCTAAGAGGTTATCTGAACTATTTCAAAAATCCTGACCTTCTATGAAGTTTACTGAGCTTCTGATCAGTTGCAACGGGTCAGGAGTAGTTTTAAGGAGAACAGAAAATCACGGCCTTCACTTCCTAACTAACATTTTCAGCTTTATAAGCCACCTTTTCTAGCATTGTGCTGAAAAGTAGCTGAAAAAAGTTCCAGATACAGCTACAAGCAGAAGCTAGCATAATAGTTTTGGAGAGTGTTTACTCAACTTTTTCACAACCATTATTCAATTTGTCAGTCACACTGCATAACAGCAGCCAATAAACGCTAATGTCACTTCTATGCAACTATTAATCAACTTTCAACTTGTAACTGCAAAACAAAGCTAATAAAGTGAATAAAGAACTCATCATTAAAGAAGCCATCAATTCTACACAACCAACCACTCTTGCTGAAAAACATAAACATCAAAAGTGCTTTTTCAACAACTAAACAACCTGTACTCAACTAATAAACTGTGTTAGCGCTACTTTGGAAGCATTTTTACAGTCATATTTTACAGTCAACTAAATTTATTTTTAGACTTGTGCAGTTTTACAGCTTTTACTCTGCTTCTTTACAAAGCTGAATTAAGTAGTCGAGAAAAGTGATGGATGTGCACTATTATAAAGCCTCTACTCAGTTATCTTGTTGTAGAAAGTCATGTAGATGTGTTTACGTCAGCTCAATGTGTTGGCGTAGCGAAGTTGGTAGTGTCAAGGTTTGCTAATGTGGTCGTGTCGAGTTCAATTCCATTTTCCGGCATGGTAAATAATTTGGTGCTGTGCTTATTTATTATAACTCAAAGAGAATAATTTTATTCACAGAAAAATTAACTCAATAAATGCCTGCAACAAAAAAAAAACGTGAACAATATTTTACCCGGCTTCAAGAGAAAGTTGTGTAGTGATTATTTGATAACCGGGAAAAGGTTTAATAATAAAAACCTTTCAAGTTCACACCCAACTAAACAGCAGGATAACAGCTGTCTAGAGGCGTAAATGGATATACAATAAGAGCTTATCCCAACCGTCCCAACAGCCATAAGTAGCTGACTAAGTTCGCCAGATTTGCTTGTATAGAGGTTGAGTAAAGGTTACCTCATATCGTAAAACGTTTGAATGCAGCTTGAGGCTGTATACATGAAATGAGTAAAGCGTTTACATTGTGAAAATTGTTAGTTGGATTAAGTGTCAGGTAACACAAGGTTGCCGTGAAGGGGCAATTTCTCAGAATCTGAAACCTGCTCCGACTAGAGATCTCAGGGCAGGTTTATCAAAATCCTTCAAATGGTGGCAATGTTTGCACTGAACCCCGCAAACGAGTGGAATGACCAACAGGGAAAAGACTATTTATTATTTATTAACTCCTAGCTAGGGTAAAAGGGGCTTCACTTCCTGAACATGTCACATGTGGATTCTGATCTAATCTGCCAACCATTTGGAATGCTAAATAACTTTTCCGAAGACTGGAAACTTCCTAGATGTTCAAGATCTCTTACATAGCTTATAAATAAATTAACTTGCACGCTGCCTATCGAAAAAAATATGAACTGCTGTCCTCTATTCAAAACTTCTATATCGCCAGGATCAAGATGTGGTCATCTTAGCCCTAGGAGGGATCACCCATACCCCACGTGAATTTATTCTTGCATTGTTTAGATATTCCTTTTGATCATGATAAATCATCATTAAACGTTAAGGAAATTTCCTGAAAATCAAGTACTGCAATTTTGTGTAGATTATAGCATTAGCGAATTAGCGTGCTTAATGGTTACCTAGGATATGCACAACACTCGGCCAGTTGTGATGAACTGTATAGTGAAGTGAGTTTACACACTTAGTTTTTTCTACCGACATCGGCTGTGCAAATTTCGACAAAAATAAGTTTCACTGAGATCTCAGCAAAAGTGACATTTGATTGCTGAGTCTCGGATAATCCTTACCTGAATCTCAGCAAACAAATTAAATGTTTGCTGAGATCTCAGTAAAACTTTTTTGCCGAGATTTGCCCGGCTTGAGCTCGGTAGAAAAAAAAAACTAAGTGTGTAGGACTCCTTACAGTTCCTCGAACCGCTAAATGACTTTGGCAATGTTTACGCCTCATACATAAATTAACGTAGTTTTCGGATAATTACTCTTAAAACGGATTTAGAATTTATATTTTTTTTGTTTTGGTGCAACTTTGTTAATACTCGATGATTCTAGAAGTATTCGTGAATCTCAAACAATTTAGTTTACGAAATACGAAGCTTTGCATGAGTACATAATTGGAAACATTATAACCAATAACATAAAAGATATTTGGAAAATATGTAAGACGTACTGTAAAAACTCTATAATATCTAAACTACAAAATGGAACCAATGTTTCCAATCCGGAAATAATGCTAAAAGTAAATTTAATCATTATATTCTACTATCAAAGTTACCCGCATTATCAATGATACCCCGTTTTACGGTACTTATTTAGCCATTGAGGGTCTTTTCATGTTTAGGCTAACAAACTAACAAAGGGACAAATTAGAGCTACTTACGTCCGGTGGGGGACTCCCATGACCCGAGCACTCGATGTGACCTCCTGTGTTATTCGAAAACTCCACTCGGTGCTGTGGTTCACTGAGAAACATCGGTCCCTGGAGATCCAGCAGAATGACGCCTGCAAAACAAGAAAGTCAACCAGTTAGCATGAATAAATAATGAGCTCCAATTAGTGAACAGTGATAGAAACCACTCGATAACTAGCAAACATTGTGTGCCACCTTCAGCCCCCTTTTTCTGACGCCCCATGGCTACATGCATTCGACAAATGGCATCAATTTGTCGAAACATATTAGCACTTATTTTTCATCTTCTCAAATATGTATCTGGTCTCCAAAGAGCGGAGCGAAATTTGTGTGCGTAGCGAGAAGCGCATAAAAAACGACTCCTCTGTGAGCGAATTATTTTTCTATCTGTATCCCATCTAAAACAATAGAATCATTAATAATTTATACCGAGGGAAATATTTCATTTCCATTCCATTCGCCACCCGGTCCGGATCGAATGATGGTATTTTCACCTGCGGATTATGCGGACGGAAGCTCCTGCTTTGCCAACGGAGTCGACCAACGAACGACCGAGTTCTTCGTCAGGTCTTGCAGGTATTTTATATTATGAAATATTTCGCAATAAATCAGGCTACTGCGTGGCCTCCAGGGCTATCCAAAAGAACTGGCTCTGAAAGCGGAAAGTCACGGGAGTTGATGGAAAGAGGTGAAGGAATTTACGATATTTTATTTACATTCTCTCACTTCACCACACACCACCATCGCTGATGGTGTGCAGCATCACATCGTTGGAGTGAAAGGCGAAGAAGGTCCTGAAGAAGTCTCGTCTTCATGCAGCATCGGCGAACGGAAATGGTTTCCATAAAGAATAAGTGTGCCCCAAGTGGTGTAGCATACAAACAAATGGATGGTTTAGCAGCGAGCGTAAAAACGCAAGGACATCTAGGTATGCATCGAGTGAGCGTGATGTAGATACGTTACGTGAGTTTATGACTTCTACGTTGGTTCTTTGCTCCTTAACCAAACCAAGCAACGTAGGTAATGGTTGGATGGTGGTGAAATTGAAGCATAGCTAAAAAAATCTCAAATTAATCCAACTAGCTGTGGCATGATCCTTTCCCGTATTCAAGGTGAATCATTTACCCAAAACCAACAGCCCAACGGTAGATTAATATGGTTACGTTAAGTCCATTGGCATACAGAAACTATACACACGACACCTAAAGAATCCGAACTTTGCACATAAAATGATTAAAATTGCAAAGATCCCTGCTTGCTCAGGAGCAATAAACTATTAAAATGTATCGATAGACTAGTGGAAAGGAACAATTAATAATAAAAATAAAACGATGTCATAGAAAATATTTATAGCGCCGGTAAAAGCGCAAAGAACATAACATTCAAAAGAAGCAAGAGAAAACGTATGTTGGAGCAATGAATTCCATAAATAATTAAAGAATATAAAACAATCTAAACGAGCACTGGAAAAGGGCCTATAAAAAATTTATAATAATCCCGTTCCCCGTATTTTTTTTTCTTTTCACTAGTCTTTTACAACTTTTGAAAAGTATTTTGTTCCTGCGCAATCGGTTTATTGCAAATTTTACATTAAACTATTTGAGTTTTCCCTTCTTTTAGCAAGCATTTATTAGGCTGCAGTTGACATACCAGAATGAAACTAAGAAATTTCACATAAATTTGAGTTCCATTAACTCAAATTCGCAGGTCACTGATAGACTGAGTGAATTTTCCTTTAATAGGGGAAATGGCTCTAATGTTGGCCTATGGATCTAAGATTGGGCCCATCGCTAAAAATCTACTATTTATCAATTGTATCTAGATGATCGCGTCATTGGGACGGTACTAATGGATATTTTTGGTTGCTATTGAAAATTTTTGCTGAATTTATGTATGAGCCCATATTAGGGACACTTAGGCCGACATTTCATACATTTCCCCTATATGCGTGACTATCGGGAAAAACGAGTCTACGATTATATTCATCAGGTAAGTAAGCCAGTTTTTGGCCCTAGTGGTCATCTAATTAACCTTACTTTAAATTTCAAAGATTTTCATTCTTTACCTTTTTTCTATTATAGTCACACATAAAGGTTAAATTATGTGTGCGAGGAATTGTTTTATTTTTCTTCACCGTGTTATTAAAATGAGAGCTCATATCGGTTCTATGGAGTTATTCATGACTTGTCCGGCGATGAAATTTGAACTCGTCTACTTTGGACTCCAGAGGACGCTCCGGTCGAATAAAATTCGCCGCCGCACGAAGATGACTATCTACAAGACCTGGACTATGCTCGTGGAGGACCAAATGTTTTCGATTGGAAGGTGTTACTTACCATCTACGGTGGAGTGCAGATGCATGACGGAACGTGGAGGAGGCGAATGAACCACGAATTGCACCAGCTGCTGGGAGATCCATCCATCGTCCACACTGCAAAAATTGGGCAACTACGGTGGGCTGGGCACGTCGTCACGACGACCCAGTGAAAATGGTTCTCAAAAGCAACCCTACAGGAACAAGATGAAAAAGCGCGCAGTGGGCAAAGTGGATCGACCAAGTAGAGGGCGACCTGCGGATCCTTCGCAGCTACGAGGCAGGCGAAGTGTGACCATGGATCGAATAGAGTGGAGACGACTTCTTCGGACAGCAGAGGACAACAAGGCCTTAGCCTGATTGGTAAGTGGTAAGGTAAGTAGGTCTTTGATGTCTTGGGAAACTCAATATCAAGAAATGTATAACTTTACCCCAGAATCCCTCTCTCTAGGAAACTCTATTTAAAAGAAGAAAAAAAATCGAGTGCATTCTAGGCGGTGAGTACAGAAAGCCTTAAAAAATGCTATGTAAACCGAGCAACTTTGTCGAAGACCGTAGAGCTGTAAAAAATATACCCACGGTTCTAGAGATTTTGACCACGCAACCGCCCAAACTGCCCAAATATTCTTCTGTAATCTAACAGTATATGTGAGAGCTATTGTTTTAATTTTGATGTTTTCAACTTCGTATGATTTAGTTTTTAAAGTTTTCACAGCTTTAGTGTTCGATACAAATACCAACAATTAATTTCTTGAAACAAATTATTGAGAAGGAGATAATTGATGCCTCTAAGCCGAGGGGGGAGGTCTGAATTAGTCCACCATCGCTCTACCGTTAATACGGTACTGATTGAGAGCTTTCACCAATGCATGATTTTGTATATTGTGTGGCAATCCCGACAGATTTACTCGACCAAACCGAGAATGAAGCCCACCTAGCTGCTATTTTTTTTAAAGAAAAAGTTTTTTTTTTCTAAAGTGATCTAAAACTGTCTCTCTGCCTCAAGTCCGATAAATAACAAACAAAATATATTAACTGGAAAAGACTCTTAACGGAAATCATATGAACAACTTCTAGCATGGTATGCTTTAAATCTGACAACCCTAAAGGCACACCCACCAGAAGACATTATTGATCTGATGATAATTTCATAGCATGAATTGGCAAACGAAAGCATCCAATAGCATTCCATTTGAAAGCGCTTAGCTCAGGACGATGCAAAAAGTTTATCAAATATGCCGTTTCTATGATCCTGACGATTAAACGAAATGGTAAGGCGGTAGATAATGAACGAATGGAATTTTCTTGGAGCTCCGTGGCGGGAATTACTCTGATGGTATTTTTTTTTGTCCCCTCACAACTTAGGAACCAGGAACGGCATTCAATTTATGGAAGTTTGCAATTGCTAACGTCAGTACGACAATGGTCGATTAAAAAAGCGGTGCTGGAGGTCTGTTAGAATCGCTATCATTTTGGGTGTGATTTTTGCCCCTGGTCCCTCTCGAAGAAGTTAGGAACGGTTATGGTCGTACGGTCAAATTGATATGGCATGGCTTGGCTGCTGGAACATGGCGAATAATAACCGTTAGGCATGAGTTTATGACCGGTCATGGTGCTTCTTCTGAATACACAAACGAGATAACGTTGCAGGAAAAACTGAAAACACCATTTTGATAAAGGTATCTTGTTGAATTTTTGAAGACAGTTTCTTGGTAAAATGTTATTCTGCTTCCTCAGTTACTTTTAAATCCGGATTGGAACAATAAGCGTGCAACTCCTACAATGACACCGTCATGCGTTTTGTTCAATTTAGAGTTGTTTTTAGAGCTTTAGACGCCTCATATGGATACACGCGACTTTTATTAGTCTAATAGTAAGGTAGGTTAAAAGTTGTAATTTTCGACCTAGCCTACACACTTAGAAAAAATCAAGTAAATTTAGGTCAAGCGTTAGCGTCAATTTTGACATAAAGTTGAGTCATAACAGACGCGAAATATAGCTCAATCAAACGTACTTTTCGGGGGCGACCCCGGCGTAGTGGTTAACATCCATTCCTCTCACGCCAAAGTCACGAGTTCAAATCTCACCCCCGGACAAGTCACGAATGACCCAAGAGTGTTAAAGTGACTATAATTAAAAAAAAAAAACTACTTTTCGTCGAGCAGCGAAATTTTCAGTCTTGGAGCACTTAATATTACATGACATATTTGTTTACGTCTCATTCTTTATGTCAAAGACGGATTCCGTCACGTGTAAAATTAGCTATTTCTAAGTGTGTAGTTCCTTATCACTTTCAGAGTTTAATTTATAGCTTTCTACACGGCCTTGACAGCCCAAACAACTCAGTTTGTCATAAACTGGTTTACATAACTTATATATGACAATCTCAGCTGTGAAAATTTACTTCTAGTCACTTATATTCAACTCATTTAGAGCAAAAAAAGCGCAAGAGATGGGATCTATATATAACATATGTCAAGTTTTATATGATTGACTTGCGCAACTAATGTATGACTATAACGCAACTACTGTTTTGAAGATGTTCTAATTGGATTCAATCCTTCCAACGAATGGCATTTGTTCATTTTTCCATCATCATTATTAATTTTATTGTTCGAATAAAGTGTATAAACTGAGATTTCGTACTCAAAAACTTTTGTGCAGTTGAAAATTTATGGTGAATCTTTACTAATTTTAAGGTACCGTAGTACCATAGAACGCTATTTTATATTTTTGCAATGGCTTGAACATGTTCCGGTGAGTTTGGGCCTTGCACCT